TTTATTCGTAGGTATGTTTAGAATTTTAAAATACTTGAAAAAAACCTTAATTACATATCTAACCGTAGAAAATAGGGAAGATTTTATTTATATTTTGGTAAGTTTTCTTTGTTCAGCCTGTCTTCCTGGTCATAATCTATTAGAGTCTGTGGTTATGTATCAGACCAGTGGAAGTAAATTTCCTGCTTTGGCAACTGCTATAGAAAGCTTGGTAGTTTCCACTTATTTCTCTTTAGCTTTATCTCCTTTTTTTTTTTCTTTTCCCCTAATGGTAAGTGATTCAGACAGCTCTGCTTACCCTTTACCAGCCTCACCCCAGGATGGTTTTTTTCTATTGACTTTTTGTGAAGGGCTAAGTAAGTACCTTATTACAAGTATATGAATAATGCAGGTCTAAGCCCAGAGTTTCAGTTTGGTTTTCTCTAAGGTGTACATTCTAGTCATCTGGTAATGGCAGCCTAGAAAACTGTGAGGACGAGAAGTCTAGCTAAGATCAAGTTTTGAACATGGGGAAAAAGAAGGCCATGGTCGATTGTCAGCTGTAAATTCAAAATAGTGGCGTGTTGATATGCAAGCTAGATTGCTGATATTTATATTCCACACAATTATAAGGAAGGAAATCACAGGGACACAATAAATGTTGAGAGCAGATTTGGAAATGTTGGGATTTTTCTTGTTTCATTCCAGCCTGCTTCAGAATAGGTTATTCTTGATCTAGAATCCTTTTCTGAACTTCTAAATAATCTTCATCATAAAATCTTTTAAATGTTTTTTCTAAATTTCTGAATTTTTTTTTCCTCTTTCACCTAGAACCTTCTTTCTTTTTTTAGAGTCAGAACTCAAACCATCTGGTTCACAGTGGGACATGCCTTCTCTTTTATTTAGTCAGTTCCCTCCTGTAGATGTCACTAGGATAAAAGCTAGGTACAGGCATGTTTCAGTATACTACCCTGGCAATGTATGTGTTGATTCCTTCCCTGTCATTTCCACTGTCCCGATGTAGGACTTGCTCTTGTATTCCAGTCACTTGTGTAGGTACCTTTCTCTGCGTCTTCTGAGCTTTGAATCTTTTGTGCTGTAGAAGCTTTTATGATCTGTGGTTCACTAGACTCACAGAATAAGTCTTCCGGATTTCATAAGAATTCAAAGCATGAGTTTTTTTGGTTCTAGACCAGAAAACTCGTCTTGGAGATCATTGCTGAATATGTTTCAGCAGTTAC